ATATCCTGAATAATGCCCCCACACAAGGTGTCTACCCCTAATTCTCAGAACCTGTGAATGTTCTCTTGTATGGCAAAAGAGACTTTGCAGATACAGATTAGAATTTTGAGATTGACAGAATGTCCTGGCTTATCTGGATGGGCCTGATATAATCAACAGGGTCCTCATGAAAGGGATGCAGGAGGAACCAGAACTATAGAGAAGGCCATATATGATGGAAAGAGAGATTGGAGTGACACACTTTAAAGGCGGGGGAAAGGGAACAGTAATGGTAAATTTTATATGTCTGCTTGGCTAGGCTATGATGCCCAGACGATTGGTCAAACACCAGTCCAGCTGTTGCCGTGAAGGTATTCTTTACATGTGATTAATATTTAAATAAGTGGACTTTGAGTAAAGCAGATCACTCTCCATAATTTAGATAGGCCTCATCCAATCAGTTGAAGGCCATAAGAGAAAAAGCCTGTGGTCCTGAAAGGAGAAGGAATTCTGCTTCCAGACTGCCTTCAGACTCAAGAATTCAACGTCAACTCTTCCCTGGGACTCCAGCCTTCTGGGCTGCATTGAAAATTTCAAACTTGCCAGCCTCTACAATTGCACAAGCCAATTCCTCAAAATTCCTCTCTTTCTCTGTCTCTCTCTATATACTCATAATGCTAATACAGGTAATTTTGGACTTGTGGTCTCCAGAATTGTAAAAGACAACACTTGTGTTGTTTTTAAGCGACCAAATTTGTGGTAATTTGTTACAGCAGCCATAGGAAACTAATACAGGACCTTATCCTCATTTAATTAGTAAAATATCCTTGTTCTAACATATGTTCTTTTAGATAATAATACCTCGCCTCTTCTTTAAATGACAACTGTAACTGACTAAACTCGTGTCTCAGTCCACATTGTTTCAGCCCTCATTTTTACTCCAGTGTTTGCTGTGTCAACCTGCTGTGTGCAAGTGTAATCCATGGCACCTCACCTCAGCTGTATGGAGTAACTTCACTTCTCTTCCTGAGCTGCCTTCTAGGACAACAGCCAGAAAATCATCAGTCATTGTGACATGGAGAAAATCTCTACTTTTGAGGGAGTTGAACCCTATGTGACTACTTTTAGCCAAGGAGGGATGAAAGATGGAAGCCAGTGGATAAATACTTCCTTCTTCAGCATCTCAGAGGAAATAATTAAGTAATTTACACTGGGTTCCTCCCAAGTATCTATCCGGATAGATCCCTAGTTTCCCACTGTGGTGATTAGCATGATAATTTACCCTTAGATTGGCTTTCTTCCTTCTCCTTTATACCTTTCCAACTCCCACTCCTATCCCTTGGGATGACTTTCAAAAAGAAACTATCTGCATGCAGGCCCATATTTCATGCCTGATTTTTAGGGACACTAGCCTAACTTAACCAGCACTGGTTGGTAACAGAAGAAACCCTGGAAAGCACACCACCAGAATAGGATTCTAAAACCAGAACACTCACCAGTCAGCTCTCAGTAAGGACTGTGTTGCTGGTGGTAGGTGGGACGGTGATAACCCTTGTATTCCATAGTATTATTAAAATTCACTAAGAATTTTACCAGTGACAGACAGGAATAAGGTACAGGTAAAAGGTGAGGCTTTCGCTGCTGTGGTAGTTTTAAGGGTTGACATTTAAATCATTTAGGACCAACCATAATTCTGAAGATGGTGATTTGGCAGGCTTTTATTTATAGCTTCAAAAGCTTTAAAAACTAAAGTGACAGACAGGTAGTTATACACTGAAAACAAGAAAACCTCCATGGCAACATTTAAAAAGACCCACATCTCCTGCAGCTACAAGGCAGAGGCCCAAAATTTAATAACATATGTAGCACAGTTATGACTAATTCTATCTCTCATGCCAAAGACAAGGTGCTAATAGAAAACAAATGAGACTTGAGGTCTGCAATGGGGACCTTTGATGGAACGAGCTCAGAACCTCTAACCTCTGTATTCTCCTGAGTCCTCTGGTCCAGCATAGGTAGTTTCCTTTCCCTCGTAACAGAAAAAATGCCTCTCATTTCCTGGAGTTCCGCAAAGACACCTGAGACAGTTGCCTTGCAAGATCATATTTGTTTTCACCAAAAACACCCCTGCTCCCTTTCATTGCCTCCGTAATAGTAAATATAGTCACCCTGAATAGGAAAATAAGGCCCTCATTTCAGGAGGAAGTACACAGGAGAGAGAGAGAGAGAGTCAAAGAAACGCATCAAGCAAATGGGATAAAATGCTAACAATAGTTGAATCTGGGTAAAATTTATATGGATGTTCTTTGTATTATTTTTACTTTTGCAACTTTTTGTATGTTTGAAATTATTTCCAAATAAAAAATTTAAAATTATATATTTTCCGAACTGCACTTTAAGGAAATGAGAAAAAATAAGGCTTATCCTCAAGACATCCATTAATGCTACATCTCTAAGGAGAGCAAGAGTCAGACAAATATTTCTGATTTTTAAATTTTAAACAGGTTTAAAACCTTTTAAAGTTCACATTCAACATCCCCAAACACATTTCAGGAATAAGTCTTAGATGATTAGTTGGATGAGTAGCTTTTCATATCTAAGAAAACCACTTTCCTTAGACATGCCAGAGCAGGAGGTTGTGAAATTGGTATGGGCTGGTTCAAAAGTAAGCCGAGTCCTTGCTTGCATTCCAAATAAGCAAGATCAAAAAGTAAGCCCAGGGAACAAGTTGTTCTTTAAATCTTTGACTTCTTTGACCCTCAGAAATACCTGAATTTTAAGGGACAAAATAGTACCCATGAAATTGAATTTTCTAAAACCTTAAAATGTATGATGCTATGTAAATATCTGAAATGAATCACCCAGCTGACTTTAGCTAAAAATTATTAGGAAACTCTTTTTTTTAAGTTTATGATATATAACAGGGGAAGCAATTTTAAAAATCTCAGGTTGTTTTATTGTTCCACCTGATGAAATATTTTCACCCACTTCTATAATTTAATGTCCAAATTACGAATGGTAGAATGCTTCAACTAATATATAATGTCATCGTATTGGAACCAGTTAGGATGCACAGTTCTTTATTTCTCTAGTCTGATCACTGCTTCTCTGCCTCTTCACTGCAAAATCAGCATCCTACTTGTATTGTCAAACAAAAGAGGCATTTTAAACCTCTTTTTGTGGGACAAGTCTCATCAGGCTTGGTATGTAGAAGTGAAAACAGATCTCCCACGGCAGAGATGATAATTCCTAGGGAAAGTCTTAACAGTTCTTTCTCCTTCTTCTCACTTTCCAGAAGCAGCAGTTTCAGGTTTAAATGCTTGATCAATTCAATCTCCTTATTAGGTGAGCTATACCAGCAAATTAAGACTTCCAAGTTGTGCTAAAAATATCTGTTGATTCTCCACCCTGGGATAGGCAAACTACATTTGTCCTTCTGGTCATATTTTCAATACCTAAACTTTATTTTAACCCACTAACTTTACACAGAAATCAATTGTGGCCTAGACAGGGTAGGAAACTTGTCCAAAGCACAGTTGGAATTACCATCCAGGAATCTTGTCTCAGTCTAACATTGTGTGCATCACCCCAGGAAAACTGTTTTTGTTACTCTGGATTTACCCTGCTGGTGACTTCAGCCTAGATGCATGGAGAAAGCTCTGATTCCTTGCCTAGATGATGATACTTCGATGATTCTCTACGTATTAGCTTTAATGTGAAACAGAATTGTTCCCATGTGAAATCTAACGGGCTCTTCAGAGTTTAAATTAGTCCTAACTTTTTTGGTGGTTTATGCTTGACTTTGAAGCCTTCAACATATATTGTTTTTGCTTTTAAAAATGGATTTTTTGGTATTACAAGATGAAATTGAGACTATAAAAGTAATAGAGAAACCAACAAAACTAATAGTTGGTTTTTTGAAAAGATAAAGAAAATTGACAATCCTTTAACCTAACCAAGGAAAAGAGAGAAAAACCCCAAAGAAATAAGATTATAAATGAAAGAGGAGACATTACAACTGATATCACAGAAATTCCCAAAGGATCGTAAGAGACTACTATAAACAATTATACACCAACAAATTGGATAACCTAGAAGAAATGGATAAATCCCTAGAAACATACGATCTACCAAGACTAAGTCATGAAGAAACAGAAGATCTGAACAGACTAATAACAAGTAAGGAGATTGAAACAGTAATCATAAACCTCCCAACAAAGAGAAACTCAGGATCAAATAGCTTTATTTATAAATTCTACCAAACATTTAAAAAAGAATTAACACCAATCTTTCTCAAGCTCTTCCCAAAGATTGAAGGGGAGGGAATACTGTAGGATTAAAATCTCATGTTCTGAGAAATATCCATGGGAAGTTGTGCGGCCTAGATTGATGTTGTATTCTTCCAAAGAGGATTTGACTGGGTGGACTATCAATCTCGGGTCTTTTAAAATAAAATTCTGAGCTTAAGACTTATTGGATTATATAAGTGTGTAATCCTGAGTTACATAACCATGTGAGAGCCAACTTAGGTTTGTAGAGCAGTTATGGAATCTGAACTGACATTGCATCTAAAACATGGGTTCTGAAATGCATTATGCCCCCCTTATTAGGATGAGGACTTATGGAAGCCAGGTCATAAATGGAATTATGGTCCAAATACATCTCACTATGTGTGCAACGGGTCTTTGGACACACCCTCTGATCATTTTCCTGATCCCCAGTGCATAACTGAGATGAATATATATAGCAGCTGGAGGAACCCTCATATTGATTATCTTGACAGTGAAGTAAATGATATTATGGTAAGAAGGGCCAAGTGAAAGCTCCTGAAACTGTCCCCTCACACCACCACTATAGTAAGTCAGCTGCAATACCACTCCCAGGAGGGATTACAGAGGTTAATGTCATCATCAAAGATATGAAGTATGCTGGGGTGATGATCCCTCATTCAATTCTGCTATATGATGCCTGAAAATGCAGATGGATCATGGCAAGTAAGAGAAAATTATGGTTACCCTTACCAAATGATAGGATGCATTGCAGCTGTACCAGCTGGCGATCCTTACTGGAACAGGTCAAGACAGTCTCTGACACTTGGTTTTCAGCCATTGATCTGAAGGATGTATTTTTCTCAGTCCTTGACCTAAAGAAAAAAAAAGGTTATTTTTCATGAGATAGACAGCAATACACATTTATTGCGTTGACCCTGAGCTGTGTTAATTCTTTCGATCTCCATCACAATAGTTGGCAGGTACACTGATCATCTTAAAATTCTACATAATATTATGCCAATCCACTATATTGATCCACCATGCTAATTGGACCTGGTAAAAAGAAAATATCAAGCACTTTGTAATTTTTCTATCGTTTCAAAGATTACAAAATACCATGGCTTCAGAAAACCAATTGTGTTTCTTTTTATGTATCTAACTTTTTAATCTAACCTTATATAATTTTAGCATATCTTGAGACGTGAAATATTTTTTCCTAAATTTCTAAACATTTATTCTAGGCCTATTATTAAATAAGCCCCCAAATCTCTATTGATTTGCAAATGTCTTTCAAATATGTTAAATTCATGTGCAGTCTATTCTATTGCCTATCTTCTATTTTTCAGGTCTATTTTATCCAGTACTATATTTTTTAATTTATAAACAATATTAAAATTTATGTCCATTTTTCCTTTTTTAATACCCTTTGATATTCTTACCTTTTTGTTTCCAGGTGATATCTATTGTCTCATTATACAGTTCTAAGAAAAATCATGATAGTGAAATTACATTAGTTCTACTAAATAATTTGGGAAAATTGAACTCTTTATAATTATTAGTTCTTATCTATAATAAAAGCTTCTGCACTCATTCTGTATATTCAAAAACTTATTACCATTTTATGTAAAATATGCATAGTTTTCATTGAGTTAGTCACTAAACATGTTGTATTATTCCCTTTGTGGATATAATCTATGTTAAGTAATAATTTACTTTATTAAGAAACATCAATATATAAGGTAGACCAGGAAATAAACCCTGTAAAAAATGTGTTGTATTATTTATGTAAATTGGAGCTTTATAAATATAGATATACTTTACTGTGTGGAAAAGGAAAGAAACAATAATAGTGACAGTCCTTGGCATCACATTGAGAAACAGTTGAAAAGTAGCAGTATTTAACCTGTATAGATGAGAAATTATAAATTTCTTCTACTGGAAAAGTTTTTCATGTGCACAGAATAGACACATTTGTGGTCATGAGAAATACAATTGCACCATGGATAGAAATCTCAAGGTAAGAGATGTTGACAAAGTATTCTGATAAATTCAGTTAAAGATAGCATAGGCCATTCTAGAAGGTAATGAGTTAGTTCCCTTCCCTTGCAGATGTTCAAGGGAAAGCTGAGACCACTTAGAAGGGTATTGGTGAAACAGATAAGATATTAAACAGTGATATTTTGAATTTCTTCCAATGGTAATTCTTTGATAATGTGGAACTCATGGTATAGTTCATTTATTCTTCACTCTGATGTTCTTCTAATCCCATACACAAAATTATTATCTTAAAAAAATATGGTAGGGGCTGGACCCATGGCCCAGTGGTAAAGTTCAGAGCACTTATCTTCAGTGGCCTGGGTTCAGTTCCTGGGCACAGACCGACACCACTCATCAGTGGCCATGCTGTGGTGGCAACCCACATACAAACAGGAAGATTGGCACAGGTGTTAGCTCAGGGCGAATCTTCTTCAGCAACAAAAAAAGGTAGATCATCATTCCTATGACTGCATTGCTTCAGTTCCCAGTTCAGTAGACATTTTGTTGGCAGGTGTAAAATTGCACCTGTAACAAAGGACACCCTCTGAGGACACAAGCTTTACTTAAATTCCTTCAGGGTTCATTTTAAAGCTAATGGTTTTGGCTAACGTTTTGGATTTGATTCACATTGTTAAATGCTTTAACACAAGTTGGAAAAGCCAACTTTACATTCCTTTGCTTCTGATCAGAATAAATCCCCTAAGGAAAAAAAGAAAGAAAGATGACTGACCTAACTCAGCTTTTGTGCCTTTATTTGTTGAGGAAGTTGAAAGTGCCATGCTATTGATTAAATCAAATAAATAGGTTGGCGTTGCCACTTTGGGTAATTTGTTCATTTCTCTTTGTTTGGTCCCTGTTCTAAGCACTGCCAAGCCTATTGCCATGCAGACAAACATGACCGTTTGCTGGTAAATTATCACTTTTTGGAAACTGAGCTAACACTGGTTCCTCATTTGAAAAAAATTAATGTTAAGTCTATGTAAATACCTAACAGCCTACTCCTGTTTGTGTTTCAGTTGGGCAATTTAAGTGGTTTATGAATTTTGTTTTCCTCACATATAAATCAGCTGATTTCCTTAGCCTCCAATTCAAAACTGATGAATTCTATTCCTTTGAACACAAATAGGACAATTTTGAATCTCGTGGCAGAGATTTTAATACAACATTTATTTTTGTAATTACCATCAACGCATACATTTCCAAGCATTTCTCTGGCTGGCACAGTGAGTAGAACAAAGTCCATACTGGCTTTGTTAATTAAGAATTGGGCATCTGCTGAATCCTCCATACTGGGGCACCTATGTTGGCTTCCAGCGAAAGAGAATAAACCCAGTTTCTTGCACAGAGTAGGGGGAGGAAAGAAAGAAGCATAATTCATTATTACTCAGAACAAAACCTAAGTGGCACAAGAAGGGATTAAGCGCCATGAGGTTTCCTGGGTGAGAACGAGCACCTTCCATTGGGAAAGATTTTATGAGCTCAGAAAGGGAACAGAGTTCGAACCAGGCCAAAAAAAAAAAAAAAAAATGAGGAAGAGGTGTTGAGGCCCAATAATAGATAAATAATCTGCTTTCTAAGTGAATTCAGTGAATTTTAAAATGCATATGCTTTAGTCTACTGTAAGGTGAATATTGCCCTTTATAGCAATTATTTTTATAGCTAAATTAGGTCATCCATAAAGGCTTGATTTTTCAGGGACACTGGAAGCATGTATCATTATAAAAGCTCCAGAGAATCCTGACCTGATACTGCGTATAATTGAGACATGCCTGCTTCCTTCAGGGAATAAATCAGTTGATGTTCAACTCTTTTATTCACCTCTAATTGAAGTGTCCTCTTTCTAAATGGTAATTTGACCCAGAACACCTCTGAAATGTCTGAGACATTCAGCAGTTCCTCAAGGGGCTGTTACACCTGTGAGTCATGATGAATTCAGAAGTTAGAATGAGTTAATGACTTTTGGAAAAAATGTATTTGATGTGGTAGAATTCACTTCCAGGAAATCACTTGGCATAAAATCTAAAGGTCAGGAGGATGGCAAGTAGCAACATGATTACCTAACACCATTTCCTTTAGTGTTAAATAAAGGAAAATTTCTGAGTACTTGTCAGAAGAGATGCTTTTACAAACTAACATCAGGAAGGCAGCATGATATTGTTGGAAGAGGACTACGGTAGGAATTGGGAGACCTGGAAGTCGGTTCTGGCTTTGACACAAATTTCCTGTCTCACTCTAATCATATACTTCTCTTCCTGGAGCCCCGACGTCCTCTTGCACTTGTCCAATGAAAGGGTGGAGAAGATCAACTTTAAAGTCAGTCCAGTTCTGACGGTGTTATCTTACCTTTCATGCATTTGATTCTCTCATACTTTTAAAAGTGAGAATTAAGATGGAAGCCTGATTTGAGTTTACAGGCTTGAAAAGTTTGGAAGCTGCCCTAGTAGTGAATTGTGCAAAGCCAAATCACAGTTAGAACTGCGTTAGAATGAAGCTGAGATCAGAAATAGATCACTTGGCCACACACCACTGTTTAAGAATCTAAGAAACAGAATATATTAATAAGTAACATAGTTTGAGGTTTTGCATTTCATTTGAGGCTCTTTGAAAGTCTTGAAATAGCAACAATGTTTGCAAAATCATAAGCCTAGCAAGGACTGCCGGGAAATTAGTTGAACAAAGACTATAAAGTTTTAAAAGAATGGAGTGACCAATTTTTCTGACTCTAATGATAAAATGTAGGTTGATTATGTTTAAACAGCAGCCTAGAAAATTGATTCAGAAACTGAAATATCAGGATGAGATAAAGCTTTTAAAAATATCTGGTTGACACACTCACTTTATATATGGAGAAACTGAGGCTCCAGAGGGAGTTGTCAGGAGAGAGAGAGAAAATGGAAAGTAGCAATATGATTGCCTAGAGAGAGAGAGGGAGGGAGGGAGAGAAACCTGGTACACAGAAGTGTCGATCTGACAAATTTAAAAGGTCTAGAAAAACATTTAAATGCAGAAAAAACCAGAGAGGCTAGCTCTTTGATTTGAATATTATTGAGTAGAAATATTTGTCTTCCTGGTTTAAAATTGAATAAATGTAAATGTATTGTAAACTGTGAAGTGTTAGGTGAATTCCAGGGACCTTGTTAATGTATGAGCTCTTCTAAAGTTATCTGTGTTTTAGAAGGAAATTCCTGCCATTGTAAGTAAGTTATTGTCTTATTTCAAAGGACAGATAGATTCAGAAATATTAGGCTCGGTGGCAAGACTGGAGTAGCAAAATTTTTAGAATTGGACTTTGAGACATACTCTGAAAATTGAGCTTCACTGCACGGAGCAGAAAAATACTACTTTTAGAGGGATAACTCAGGGAAGTTTTACAAATGTGATACTGAGGATTGGTTTGCAGCCTGATTAGGTTTTGAGCAGGCATAAAAATGAGGAAGGACCTCCCAAAAGAAAACAGCAGCATGTGGCAAGACACCAGCACAGGATGTTTAAGGAGCCGTTTGTGTTTGTAAGACAATGGGGAGAGTGGTTGCCAATGGGCATGGAGATATAAGTTGAGGCAAAAAGAAGAAAGAGGCTCATTTACTGAGGTATTTGGATATTATCTTGTAAGCAATGGGATGTCAAAAGAGGCTTTTAAGCATGGGAAAGGGAAATCAAATCTGCTTTTTAGGAAGATGGCTCTGGAGAAAGAGCAGAAAACAAAGTGAGGAAAAAAGTACCTGAAATTCAATATAATGTTTTTCTGCAGAAGTACAGGTGAGAAATGATTTTTTTTTTCAAGTAAATCAATGAAAGTAAGAATATAGAACAGAATTTTTGAAATATAATCAGTCAGATTCCGTGCCCTTAGACACAAATCACTGGATTTGGATATGGAGACTGTGAAGAGGAAGCCAATGACCCTCAGTTTTCTAGTTTTGGAAACAAGTGGATTATACACCATTATTCAAGATTGAGACAACTTGCTTGATGGTAACCATCAATCAAATCTGCACAGCTACATTGCCTATTTTCTTTCATCAATTTTAATTTATTTATCCCTGTTATATGCTAGGTACCAACAGGACCGTGGGTATTTCTCTACCATTAGGGAACTTTTAATCTACTAGAGAGATGGATATGGATACAGTGGCACAAGAAAGAATGCAACGAGAATTATGAGATCAGCATAAAGTACTACCAAGTGCCAAGGAGAAAGACTTTGATCCTGACTATACTTACGCTGGGTCTGTGTCTCTGCAATTCAACTCTGAGCTCCGTGAGGTCAGGAGCTGGGTGTTTTTCATCATTGAATTTGTGAACCTAACACAGTGTCTGACACTTAACTGACATTCAGAAAATATTTATTGATTGGAAATGGTTGTAAATAGATTAACAGAGAAGCTTGTTGTACGTAAAACTTCAGTAAAAAGTACTTGTCAATCTCAATTAATTTTCTTATACTCTAATAGAGAAACAAAGTGACTGAAAACAAATTCAGTTTCAAAAGAACATGGATAATAAAAGTTAATGTATGGGCAAAACTAATTCAGAAGAAATGTATTTTTGCATGGCTACATCGTGTGTGAAATGAAGAGTTGGTTTAACCAGGCTCATCTCTGGGGCCTTATCTCAAACGTTTTGAGTCAGTTTTGGGGGTCAGGGCCTTGCCCCTCTTTATTTTTTGTTTCACAGGTGATCCTGAAATACGTTATCTAGATGAAAACCAGTGCCTAATGCAATAACTTGCTAGGTGAGACAGAATGACTTTTTCATGATAAAAAACGAAACCAAAAAAAAGTAAAGATAAGATTGACTATATCTCCCCGGCCAGTTACTCTCTAGGATATGTCTCTTTACGTTCTGATGATTCTGCTTCTGATTAACTCTAGATAAGCCATCAAGTACTTAGAGTTTTCCATATAAAGGCAAACTCCCCACATCATCATGACATCCAAAATTTTTATAAGATTTAATTAGCTCACATATGAAAAATGCTCCAAAGAACTTGATGAGACCAGAGCATTTCATTTTTTAAAATGATATGCCCTCAGATTCTTTTGCTTACCAGTCGCTAGCTGGATTTTTCTTTCTTTTATATCTTTAAGCTGTCTCTAAATTTTTCTCTGGCCCTATTTTCTTGAGCTGAAGCATAGCTCATACACACGTCCCACAGACCCCAGTGTGTGTGCCTGTCAGCAATGCTTTATCCTAGCAAAGGGTCACCACTGGTTCTAACCATAAACCCTGGATTAGCCAAACATCAGCTGCTGCCTCCTAGGCTATCCTTTAAGAGAAAGTAGGAAAAAATTAGTTCTTCAACTAATATTTTCATTCTCCCTAGTTATTTTGCCTGATTTCCTCCTCAAGGGTCTTGAACA